CCTGCTACCCTGAAAATCGCTTTCCAAAGCGTCGGCCAAGGAGTTTCAGCAATTACGACTTAAGGAAAACAGAGGAGTTTCAAAACCCCAAAACCCATTCGCATGCATGTTTGAGAGCTTCGGTACTTCCCCCCCGTGGGGATGAGAGACCCAGCTGGCAGGCACGGGCACTGAGCACAGAACACAGCTGGCACGGTCACCACCCTGGGCACAGGGCACATACCTGATTTCAAAGGCTTGATGCAAAGAAAGCAATGGAAAACATACCGTTAATCGTATGGTGGTTCTGTGCAGAAATGACATTGGGTAAAAAACAAGCTATTTGCATTACTTAGGCCCATTTCTTTTCACTTTTCTAATGTGCTTCTGGGACCTTTCAAGCTACACGTGGTTCACGTTCCTCAGGCGCTGCATTCCCACTGGGCTGGGCTGTCCAGCACTAAGGAGGCCCAGGACAGCCTGGGACCATCGGCTGGGTCATCTGGGATTCGGAGGCCTTTGAATATGCCCCCACCATGTCACCTGGGGACCCAGGGTAGGACACAAGTCCAGAGGAGAACCAACTCCCGTGCTCCCCAGGCCCAGACATGCTACCCGACCCGTGTGGAGAGCAGGACTGACCGCGTGGAAGCAGGGAGACACGTCGTTCCTGCCAGGAAGCCCAGCACCCAGCCTACCGGGCAGCCCTGCCCACTGCCTGTCTCCACGGGTGTCTCCCCAACCTGGCCCAACAGCTCCAGGTCCCAAGTGCAGGCTCCACCCTGCACCAGGTTCTGCTCCAGGTGTGCGGGGCAGAGGTAAAAACCCGGGGCTCAGGCGGGCCCCAGGGCTGATGAGGTGCTGGAGGGGGCTGGAAGGCTCAGGTGCCACCTGGAGTCCCCCAGGAGCAGGGATGGGACTGTAGAACAGCCAGGGCAGCAGTGATGTCCAAACACCTAGGGGTGACGGCCTGTGCCCACGGTGGAAGCCCACCCGAGAGAGGACACAGGGTTGGGGAGGAACACAGGCCCGGTGCTAACACAGGCTCTGGGCCCCAGCCTGCCTGGCTGCCGCGTGGCTGCCTCCAAATGACCCAACCTGTGTGTGCCTTGGTTTCCTTATCTGTAAAGTGGGAAAAATCATAGCACCGTCCGCAAAGGCCAGGGTGAGAATTGGCAATTTATGTAAAAGACTTAAAAAGCAGAAGCAGCACCTGGCACACAGCTGCACTGCCACCAGGTCCAGGAAGAACCGGGCAGCACAGGGCCAGGCCCCTGCACCCAGTCTCAGTCAGTCTCAGCTGGCCTGGGCCAGCCCCCATCTCCAAGCCCCGTCACAACCTGCAAGAGCCCCTGCCTCCTGCCAGAAGGGTCCAGGCTGCAGAGGAAAGGCCTGCGTCCTGGCTGGGGCCTCCCAGGTGGACGTGGGGAACACGAGGCAATGCCTCATTCAAAGGGACACCAGCCTCATTCAAAAAAGCTGTAAGGGAGCTGGGTCCACCAGGCCCCGTGGCTGCCCCAGGCAGGGAGCTGGGTCCACCAGGCCCCGTGGCTGCCCCAGGCAGGGAGCTGGGTCCACCAGGCCCCGTGGCTGCCCCAGGCAGGGAGCTGGGTCCACCAGGCCCCGTGGCTGCCCCAGGCATGGCCTTTCTAGCTCTTCTGACTTGTGGGAGCCTTTTCCCCCCACCCCCACTGCATCTACAGGCCCTGCTTCTGCTGCTGGTCTCTGCTCAGGAGGCACCCCAACATGGACCAGGAAGGAGGCCAGAGGCTGAGGCCATGTGTTCCCTGCACTGCTACCTACCAAGCAAGCTGGGTCACTCGGCTGACAGAACCCTGCACGAGAGCCTGGACAGCTTCTCAGGGCACAACCCCACGCGGCTAGCTGTGTTCCTCAGGAAGACGCCCGAGAGGCCTGGCCCAGGTGGCCTAGGATGAACAGGTTTTCTCCAAATCAACACATTCACTTTAAAATTAAAGTTTTAAGGCTACTTCTACAAGCTTAACAGAGGACGTGGCCCTGTGAACACCCTACCATGTATTCGCTTGACACTAAACCACCGAAAATGCACACGGCCCCTTACGCGCCCATCAGTGCGGCTGTAAATAAAGACAGAGGAGCAAGTCGTGTTCCTGGCCTGGAACGACCCGCATAACTCTGGCCACCATAGTTCCTGACACGGCAGAGAAGACAGGCACTTCCAGATGGTGGCGTGAGGATCTCTGCAGACCCTCTCCCTGGCCTAATTCCCGGGCACCACAGAAACGGCCACTAAAAGTCTCTGGAAAGTGCCCCATGGGCACCAGCAACGGAGAGGCCTCTCCTGAACGATGGAGACTGGCTGCAGGCCCTTGGGATGGAAACACCGACCAGGGGGTGGCGCTCACCCCCAGCTCCAGCGCAGCCCGGTTTCTCCCAGCAGCAGCTCCCGGTTCCCATCACCCTGCTGAGCTCCTACATTCCAGGAAAGAGGCAGGAAGTGGGGCTCCCAGCTCGGAGCACCTGTGCAGGAGCAGTGGGTGTGCAGGAGGAGGGCAGAGAGGCACAGGAGAGGCAGTAACAGCACCAACGACTGACAGCACCCCAAGCGGGGTGAAAAGATCGATCTAGACACCCAAAAAGCACAACAAAGTCCAATTAGGATAAACACAAAAAGATCCACAGCCTCATATATAATAGTCTAAACAAACTCTGAATGACAAAGAAAAACATTTCAAAAAAAATAAACTAGAAGCAAATATAGGCAGGAAGCACCCTGACATTACCTGGCTCCAAAAGCAAGGAAACAAAAGCAAAAATGACCAAATGGGACGACACCAAACTAAGCTGCCTCACAGCCAAGGACACCAACAAAATGATGAGGCAGCTGCTGAGCGGGGGCGAGTCCGTGCAAACCGCGGGTCTGACGAGGGGCTAATATTCAAAACAGATAAAGAACCCATACAATCCCACAGGGGGAAAAATCCAGTTACAAAATGGGTAGAAGATGTGAATCTACATTTTTTCGAAGAAGACATGCAGACGGCCAACAGGCATGTGAAAGACGCCCCGCATCGCCGATCATGAGGAAATGCGATCAAAGCCACAGCGAGATACTGCCTCACGCCTGTTAGAATGGCCATTATCAACAAGACAAGACATGACAAGGGCCGAGTGAGAACGTGGAGAGAGGAGAACCCTCCCGCACTACTGGGAATGTAAACTGGTGCAGCCACTGTGGAAACCAGTATGGAGATTCCTCAAAAAACTTAGAAAACAGAAATACCATATTGACCCAGTAATTTTACTTCTGGGAATTTATCTGAAGAGAATGGAAACACTAATTTGACAAGATACATGCGCCCCTATGTTTATTGCAGCCTTGTTTACAATAGCCAAGATATGGAAGCAACCTAAGTGTCCATGAATAAAGGAAATACGGTACATATATATCACAGAGTATTACTCAGCCATAAAAGGAACAAAATTTTGCCATTTGCAGCAACACAGGATCAATCAATCTTGTGTACATTATGCTAAGTGACATGTCAGAGAAAGACAAATACCATGTGATTTCACTTATAAGTAGAATTAAAAAAAACCCTCATAGAAAAAAACCCTCACAGATTTGTTTGCCAGAGGTGGGAGTTGGGAGGTGGGAAAAATGTATGAAGGGGGTAAAAAGCTTTCAAGGGGGTAAAACTTCCAGTTATAAAATGAACAAGCCCTGGGGATGTAAGGTGCAGCACGGTGACCACAGCTGGTGACACTGCACTGCATATTTGAAAGCTGCTGCGAGTGAACTCCAACAGTCCTCATCATCACAAAAAAGGGATTTTGTAACCATGCATGGTGACAGATTACAGTGATCATTTCCTAACATATACAAATACCGAATCATTGTTGCACACTTGAAACTAATATACTATGTCAATTACACCTCTATAAAAACGTTTTTAATTAATAAAGAATTGATGCCAATCCTTCACAAACTTAAAACAAGTGGAAGAGGAACAGTTCCCATTCCGGACTTGCGGCTGGTACCATCCAAGACATCATGAGAAGGAAAAACACACCAATATCCCTTGTGAGTATGGACACAAAAATCCTCAGCGTACTACTAGCAAACAGAATCCAGCGACTTATAAAAAGGATCATACATCATGACCAGATGCGACTTACCCCAAGAATACAATGTCAGTTCAACATACAAAATCAATCAGTATTATACTCTGTAATAGTAGAATACAGGACAAAAACCATGTGATTATAACAACAGACACAGAGCAGCATATGACAAACTTCAGCATCCCCTCAAACAATCTCAGAACAGAAGGCACGGGCTTACCCTAGTGCGGGGCACCCGTGTGACACCACGCTCAGCGGTGAAACACGGAATGCCTCCCACTAAGATCAGGAACGAGACCAGCAGCCACCCACACCACTTCTAGCCAGGTGGCAGGGCAAGAAAAAAGAGAGAAGCACCCAGGCTGGAAAGGAAAAAGTGTCCCTATTTGCAGATGACATGATCTTATATACAGAAAATCCTGGAAATCCACTAAAAAGCTGTTAGAATAAAAGAGTTCGGCAAAATGGCAAGATACAAGATCAATATGTGAAAATGGACTTTACTCCTACCAAATAGCAATGAAATTAAGAAAAAAATTCCATTTACCATAGCATCAAAAAGGATACAATACTTTGGAATAAATTTAACAGAAGAATCCCAAAGCTTGTACTCTGATCATGTTTCTTTCTTCCTTCCCCCTCCCCCCTTCCTCCCTCCCTCTCTCTCTCTCTCACACAAACACACACACGTGCATGCGTGCACACACACGCACAGAAAAGGAGCAGGCTTCTAGGCTTCTAGGAGCTACATCATGCTTGACAACGGCAGGCCATGGGTTGGTTAGTTTGCTGGAGACACGGCCGCACCTGGTGAAATGACTCACATGCAGGGCAAGGCGCAAGCATGAGCACAGGACACGAAGCAGAGGGACCGGGGGTCTCCCACGGCCTCAGCCGCACAGCGTGGTACCTACCCAGACAGGACCGCCTGGGGGGGGCTCTGATTTCTTCATCCTTACCATCTGCAGCTACAGTTAAAAAGAGAAACAGGAAGAAGACAAGCAGACAGGGTTAACACACAAGCAGCCCCCAGGCCTTTTTGCATTTCTTTTTTAAAAAGTAGGTTTGGTTTCTGAGCACTAGGAAATACATTCTCTGAACTACTTCTCTCCAAACCTACCCTCTTCCAATAGGAGTGGTCTGGCGGGTGGGGGAGAATTCGGGACCAAAAATGACAAGTCACCATATTTTCATTTAACTTCTAAGGTCAGAGGTGGCATAAGCCCACCCCACGTCTGCTCAGGTGACAAGGACACAGAAGGCTCTACTTTATTTCCCCTGCAAACCCATCTGCACGTGCAGTTTGGTCATGATATAGTTGTCCAGGTCAAAACCCTTCATGAGGTTGCTTGATAAAGTTGTTTTCAGAGTACACTCAACGCCCACTGTGAAAGCAGAGCTGGGTCAACACCCGGACCTTGACAAGCAGATGGCCGAGTGTCACCACACGTCACACCAGGGTGCCGCCTGCAACTGCCTCCTGAGTGACCTCCTAGGAGCCCTGACAATGTTCTCAGCGATTCGACTCTGAGGCACCTTGCTGCCCACCCCACCTGAAAACCCCCAACTCAGTGCTGCCCCAGGACAGGTTCAGGCCGGCAGGGTTCAGGGCGGGAAGAGTCAGACTGTCTGTCACACATCGAGCTACCTGTGCAGTTTCTTAGTTAGAAAAGCAACTGGATCGGGTCTGTGCTCTGGAGAAGCACCTCTGTGCAGGACGGACCGAAGGAGAGCAAGTCCCGAAACAGACCCATGGGGACGTCACTGACAACCCGCCCCACGCAGGCAGGGCGCTCAGGGCAGCCCCGCTCTGAGCTCCACCCCACCCCTACTCAAAGGCCCGTCTCTGATACGGGGAGGGCCCTGGGACCGCTGGCCTGCAGAAGCAAGGCTGTGCGATGTCCTAGACCAGGTCATTAAGGAGACACACCTCCACCCCGATCTCTCAGATGCACCCCTCAGGAGCCAGCCACCAGGCTGTAAGGAAGCCCAGGCCACACGACAAGGGCACCGGCGAGTGTGCGAGCAGAGAGGGAGGGGGAGAGAGGGTGCAGGAGAGGGAAGGAGACCAAACACACGGTGCTTGGGGTCACCGTGCCAAACCGCCCAAGCGCAGAGTCACGGGCAAAAACGCTGTCCTTTCAAGTCGCTCAGTTCTGGGGTCCCTCACCAAGCAGCCACAGAGACCGGAATAAAAGACGAGGAGGCAGAAGTCCCCACAGGGCCAAGACACAGGGGGTCTGCCATGCTGGGTGGCCAGAGGACAGGGCCGGGGGACGGCCACTTGGCAGCTGAGGGAAATCACCATGAGCCCCAGGGCTGCAGGTGCTCACGGGGAGGTCTGAGCCAGAGCCTGTCCGGTGGACAGTGCTGAGCATGGGGCGGCGGATGGTGCCGACGGGCTGGGGGTAGCAGGTTCTGGAGCACAGGGACCAGGAGGAGGTGTGACTGCAGGGTCCCGTCACAACTGAGATGAGATGAGCTTCCATCGGAGCCCAGGCAGTGGCAGGGCAGACAGAGGACTTGTGCCCTGATGTCCGTGAACATCCATAACCCTTGAAAATGCAGCACGGTTGGTAGATAAACATTCGTGGGGGTGGGGGGCTCTCAGCCTTCATTCTCAAAATAGTATGTGACCCTCTTCACCTAACATTTTTATGGCTCTATTGACATATAGTTATATATCATAAAAAGCTGACTTTTAAAGTGCACAATTCAATGACTTTTAGTATGCCCAGAGCTTTGCAACCATGACTACCTACTTTTAGAACACAGCCATCACTCCACAAAGAAACCGCCCACTAGCAGTTCCTCCCCACTACCCCATCTACCCCTCAGCCAATTCCATACTGGAACTTGGAGTATTGAGATCTGGGGCAAATGTCAAATGAATCTAATCACCTGACTTTAAGCCACAAACAATCTCCTTTCTCAAATAAAATAAAATGAACCCAGGAAGCAACCTAAGTGTCCATCGGTAGATGAATGGATAAAGAAGATGTGGTACATATACACAATGGAATACTATACAACCATAAGAAAGAAACAAATCCTACCCTTTGCAACAACATGGATGGAACTAGAGAGTATTATGCTCATTGAAATAAGTTAGGCAGAGAAAGACAAATACCAAATGATAGCCCCCATTTGTGGAGTATAACAATGAAGCAAAACTGAAAGAACAAAATAGCAGCAGACTCACAGACTTCAAGAAGGGACTAGTGGTTACCAAAGGGGAGGGGTGGGGAAGGGCAGATGGGAAGGGAGGGAGAAGGGGATTGAGGGGTATCATGATTGGTGCACATGGTGTGTGTGGGGTCATGGGGAAGACAGTGTAGCCCAGAGAAGACAAATAGGGACTCTGTGGCATCTTACTACACTGATGGACAGTGACTGCAATGGGGTATGGGGGCGACTCGATAATAAGGGTGAATGTAATAACCACATTGTTTTTCTTGTGAAGCCTTCATAAGACTGTATATCAATGATACCTTAATAAAAATAAAAAAATAAAAAATAAAAAATAAAAAATAAAAATAAAAAATATATATATATAAATGAACCCAACTGTGTATCTGCTGGTGGCATGCATGCCCGCGAAGAGGCACCATTCCAAGGGACTGTAAACACAGTGATCTCCCAGTAAAACGCCCAGCAAGATGACCTGGAGCCTTCCTTCCTGCCAAGACCAAGCAAGCAGGGCAGCGAGTGCACAGCAGCATCAGCGGCCTGACAGCCCGTCATGCCTGGGTCCTTGAGAAGCAGGTGGAAGGGAGTCAGCCCTGACCTCAGAGTCTGTGAAGTGTCAAGCAGGGTCAGCATGACACCCAGAGGCTCTCACTACCATAACATTCTGCTAGCTCCACCCGCCACAAAGGCCAAGAGCCGGTCACGCCAACGCCTGTCCCAGAGCCCAGGCTGTGGTCTCCACATGCCACATCCGGATTCTATGTCTCCCAGGAGAAATGGCCTGTTCCAGGTCTGGGGCAGGAAACACAGACGGCGGGCTCAGAGCATCTTGTCGCCTTGTCACGCCAAGACTGGGGATCCACGAGACCCCTGGTGATGCGCCGCAAGGTCAGCAGCCGCCCGAAGGGCTGCTGGCAGGGAGCAGGCAGCAAGTGCGATCCTGGCGATCAGGGAGACACAGCAAATATGCCTGAAGCCACACCTTCAGAATGATGTAAAAACAAACAGGATGCCAGCAAACCACTTCTAAAAACAGGCAAATAAAGACAAAGAAGCGTTTAGCCACCTTTCCTTTGTAAGTTGTACCACTGGATGACTGAAGGCATTTATGGGGAAGTCTCTTCAGGGAAGCACTCCAGCTAATGGATCAACAAAGGCAGACAGAGCGGGAACTCTGCAGCCCATGGTTATCGGGCACAGTGTTGAGCGTCCTCCACCACTAACATCCAGAATTAGACAAGCTGGCCAGACATGCTCCTGGTGGCCGAACACAGCAGTCTTGCAAAAAACAAAAGCAAACAGAAGCAGACCTGTTCTGTTTCAGTCGTCTGGGTCCCATTATCTTTTTCAGGGCATACCTGAGACAGGCAGTCAGCTCCCATGACGTTCCCCCAACAGAAGCCAGGGTGGGACCCCCTCCAAGCAGCACTTCTCAGAACGTGACCTGAGGAAACTCACTCAGAATCCTGTCAAGTGAAGAGCTGCCTCAGCGAATCTGGCTTAGGGCTCATGCCTGCACCTCTAGCGCACACCTGCATGACCCCATGGGGCACACAGAGCAATCTACCTGCTTTCAACAGAGACACACTCCAAGAGGAAGGGGGGGTCAGGGAGGGCCCTAAAAAGAAAACCACCAGCCAGAGTGTGCCCGTAACCAGATCCTGACTCAAGAAAACTAACCAGCCAAAAAGTCAGGAAGCAGTGAGATAGCTGGAAACACAAAGATTGGGTATTTGACAGCAAGAATCATTAATTTTATGGGTGATAACAGTATTGTGGTTACATTTTTAAAGCCCTTATCTTTTAGAGACAGATCACAAACTATCACAAATAGAATATGCCTGCAATTTGCTTCAAAAACTGCAGGACAAGGGCCTAGGGAGTCCTGAGGTGGGTGATTCCACATGGAGCTCCGCACGCTGTGCCCTACTCTGTGTATGTTTGAAATCCCCCACAGGAAAAAGGAAAAGGGGAGATGGCATGTACGGACAGACAGTGGAAGGGGAGCATGCCAGCCCCTCCAGTCAGTTTCCCCAACACATGGCCTCTGTGGACACCATCCCAATGGGCTGTCCTGGGAGCTGGGCCTTGCTACCCTGCAGAGGCCGACTCCAGGGCGCCGCACACACCCCACCCACCTCCAAGGGCTCGGAAAACACCTTTGGACCAGTCTGGTTCGAGTTTTGTCAAAGGAGACTGACGGCGGACAGCACGCCAGGCCATCACCTCTGGGCGGGGACGGAGAGCTGTTTGCCCTCGCTTTATACCCCTGCACTTCCCCAACACATCTACAACATTAACTGCTCTTTATAATCAGGTACCAAATCGTGTGATTTTTTAAAGTAACTTGTTTTTCTCCTTTAATGTCATTTATATTTCTTTAACTTTCACATTGAATTGCTGACCTTCAAAGTTAAAAATCTCTGTAAGAGTTAACTGGAAAACATTTAAGCCTTTATTTTTTTAGGCTGACTATCCTATCAGAATGCTGGAATCTGGGGGCATTCAGACCGGGCCTGAGCTGAAGACCTGGGAGGTGCTGGCTGAGATGAGGGTCGCCCTGGCCTCAGGAGCCCTCTTCTGGCATCACACCAGCAACAGAGCCGTCCTCACAGGCACACGTGACCGACTCTTCTCCATCCTCTGCCACTCGGAGGCCTGTGCCGTCACCGGCCCCACCCAGGCCAAACTCTGCGGCCCAGCCTTCGTCACACCTGGAAAGCCCTCCTGCCACGTGAGGTGGCACAGCACAGGTTCCCAGCGCCGACGGGCATGCGGTCGCTAACCCGCTCACCAGAGAAGGCCACTGATTAAAACCCAGATTCCAGCCTAAGTTGGGATTCACAATTTCAACTCAATCCTAGTTAACTGCAATAGAAATAGTCTTTTTGGAGGAATTTGGGTCAAACACTAACAGTCAAGAGAGAAGGATCAGGTATCCCACTTCTGCTCCTGGCGAGAGGCCACAGCATGCACAACTTCCTGCCCACAAAGCCTCCCAGGGTGCCAGCCGCCAGCAATAAAGACCCACTGGAAGAAGGGAAGCATGCAGGTGTGGGCTGCTGATGGCACACCTGTACCTCAGCAAGGTCACAAAAACACTGACCTGTAAGTTTGCTCCATCGCTGAGGCTCACACACCTGCCCTAGCTGGCACCCCACCTCACCAGTGCCTACACACACTGCAAGGGAGGTCACAAAGCCAGGTCTCATGTTTCAGAGCACCCATGGGCACTGGGTCCCCTCTCACCTTCCCTCCCCCGCGGGTGAGGATGGGCATTACTGACAACCCCTCACGCTGCCCCTTCTGCCGTCAGCTAGGAGACCAGTGCCAAATTAAAGATGAGCTTCAAGGGGCACAGAGAGAAAGAGGCAGAAAGCCTGTGATCAAAGAGAAACAAGCGCCAAGCCCCTGACCTGGCAAGGGATCCAGGCTGGAGGAGGTGAGCCCAGCGGGGCGGGGCACCAGCCCCACCCGCGGTGACTTCCTGAGTCACGCAGGGAGGCACCCATCTACAGAGGACGGCCCAGCAGTGGGGAGAGAGAACAAAGCCTCACCAGAAGCACACAGTGGCGGCCCCTTTGTGGTTCAGTGACACTGACAGGTCCAGGCTATGCATCAGAGCTGGAGGCTGACCTATTTTCTCCAACGACTGGAATCAGCACACATTCATTTACTCTAAAAACAGAAGGTACACAGGGGAAAGGACCAGTTCACACAGAAGGAAAACACAGGGCGAGCCTCCAGCCCACAAGAGGCCCAGACTGAACAACTTGGAGAAAACACTTTTCTAAGCAGCAGCTAAGGTTAAACACACAGTCCCAGACAAAATCATGGTGAGAGTGTCCTAGATTAGGTAATTAGCTGAAAACCATAATTAAGGCATTGAGCCCTCCAGCATATGAGAAGCCTGCCGGCCTGCTTGTTCACAGAACATTAGCTCCAAGGAGAATTTTTAAAGAGGCAAAAACAGGAAGAAGAATTTTCTATTTTCTGAGCCACCAAAGAATCTAGAAATGACACGGACCGAGCATGTAACCTGCCCCACCCAATGTGCAGACCCTGCATGCCCACCCCGGGCGACAATTCTCCTGAACCCACAAAAGCAAGACTCTGGATGTATGTTTAACAGGTATGTGAGGAAGGCCCCAGCCAGCTCAGCAGGAGGGACACGGTGAAGCGAAAGACAGAACCACACAGCCAGAGCCGAACCAGCCTCCCCGGCGATGTCTTCCTCGGACCTGACGAGCCAGAAGAGACACAGAGAAAAGTCCTTCCTGCGCCACAGTTAGAATCCTCACAGAGCCACCATCAGACGAGCAATAATGAACTAAGTTCAGCTAGTAACTCGCCCAAATCCAGTGAAGAAAAACTATCTGGATTGCTTCATGTTATAGAATGTTTGATCAAAGTTGTTTGACACACTGAAGTTCTAACATCGGCTACAGGGAATGGTGCCATTTGGTCAGGTAACTCTGGCTCTTAGTCACCTGAGAGCACAGCTGATTTAGTGGCTTTATTCCCAAAGCTGCTGGTCACCAACCTGCAAAGAATCGGCGTCTCACATTCAGTTCGTTGGCCACGCGGACCTCGGTGCAGAGCTTCAGCATCAGTAACATGGTGGAGATCATGACAACGCTCTGCCAGAGGAGCGGAGACTCAAAATGCCTTCCAAACCTGGGGGGAGAAGCCACAGCGTCAGGTCAGAAGGTGGACACCACGGCCTTGCCCAGCCCAGGTCCCACGGGCTGGGCCCACCTCAGTGGCACCGCAGGGAGGGTCTCTCACACCTGCTGCGGCCCCAGGGCACAGGTGACCACCTGGGCCTCCAAGCCCCATAGGCAGGCAGAGCTGTGGTGGGAGGGGCCAGCAGCACTCCTGGACAGCCAATGGGGGCGCACGAAACCCCCTCAGCATCGGAGGCACTCACAATTGTATCCAGGGCTTCTCCAACTGCCGCACTCCCCTCCCCAGGAATCTCTGGGCTCCCACCCAGGGATGATGGACAGGGGCTCGGGCGGGTCTCCTGAGCTCCCTCCCAAAGGTCCAGGTGTCCCGCCCTTCCTTCCCTGCAGAGGCCCCGATTGCCACCAGGTAGATGCCTGTGGCTTCTAGACCACCTGCTTCCCAGGTAAGATCATTCCACTGTCCAGGGGATGGTCCTGCCAGGCCACAACAGTCCAAAGTATGAGCAGAGCAGCAGGGGGTCAGGACACCAAATTTCCACCCCTCCTCACCAGACAGGGCACACTCCTGAATCCCAGCCTGAGGCCCTGACACCCCAACTCAGGCATCAAAGACCCTTGCCACAGGAGGGGCTGCCCACGCTCTGCCAAGTCCCCACCTACCTGCCCACCTGACTCTGCTAGCTGGAAAGCTCCCAAGCCTTCCTGCTGACTTTTTCCAGTCTGCTGAGCATCTCACCAACTCAGCCACAAGCTCCCGGAGGCCCACCCACAGTCCAGTGTCTGGCACCAGCTGGGCCCATCAGAAGACCCTAAACCTCAGGAGCTGAGGGCAGCACCAGCGAGACCGTGGCCTACAGCATCACAAAGTTGTTGAGGCAGGCCTAGCTGAAGAGAGAGCCAGTGGGAAAGAGGTGGTGGTGCCCCAGAGCTCGCTCGGCCAGGGGTACTGCCTGGGGCGCCCACATGCTCTACCACAGGCAGGGTTCCAGCCCTGGCTCTACCCTGTGGGCCACAGGCCCTCGACCCAACACCTCCAAGCCTTGTCTCTTCTGTAAAGTGTGGCTATAACCCCAATCAAGAGGCCATTTCTGGTCATTCCTAGGAACTGGTCCCTACTGGCTACCTAGTTGACCCCAGGGGTTGAGGCAGCCATTGGTGAAGGTCACACAAGGGGCAGTGACGGTTTGATACCAGGCTGAGGAGGCTGGAGCAGGTCAGCATCACAGGGAAGTTACTCTAGGCCACCTCACAGCAAGCTCATTTCCAGTTATAAGGCTGAAGCGTGTGGTTTTGGCCATTATGTGAGAAAAACCACTTCCATTTAAACATTCAACAAAGACGAGTGACTAGAAAAACTGTGGGGAAAAAAAAAAACAAGGTTTGCACTTCCAGCAAAAATCAAATCTAGATGAACTCATTATTTACAGCAAAAATGAGACCGCTTGAAGTGAAGTGACAGGGAGTAGATGTTAATATTTAACTGGTTTCAGGATGAGTGCAGGCTAACCAAGACACAAAATTTCAAAAAGCACAACTTTCCACAAAAGATATACAAGGGACAAAGTATGTAGGAAACAAAGTTCAACACCATTAGCAACTTCTAGAAGCTAAAATAGAAAGGTTCCATTTTTTATTTACCAAGTTGGTCAAATTTTTCTCCTTTCATGCCACTAGTCTGTGCTAACAGGAATGTCATGAGAGTTCCTCTCCTGCCAAGAACTGGGGCTGACACAGCCTCTTCCCCGAATGATGGAACACCCCCCAGACAAGTGTGGAGCCTGCTGCTTTGAGCAGCCAGTCTGAGTGGGCTCTCTCCCTTGGTTGCAGCACACATGTCTCACCCCCAAGAAAATACACCCTGCAGAGGGTATGCAAAGTTTTACCAGGTACCAGCAAGATTGTGCAGGGAACACCTTCAGTCTGTCTTCAAAGTAACAGAAAAGCTCAAGTGGAAGAGAAATTGCGTATCTACTTCCCTGTGCACACTAATGCTATTGCGCTCTGAAGAATTTCACATCTCCCATACAGTGTTATGTCACCCACACAGTCACCACATCTCCCATAGGGAGTCACTGCATCTCCCAGTGTTACATCTCTGATACAGTGGTGTTACATCTTTGATACAATGTGGCTGTATCTCTGATACAATGTTACCATGCCTCTGATACAATGCTACCACATCTAATACAGTTGTTACTACATCTGATACAATACTGCTACATCTCTGATAGTTACTACATCTCTGATTCAGTGTTACGGCATCTCCAAAACAGTGTTACTGCACCTCTGATACAGTGTTACACACTCTGATCTACTGGCCAGATCTCCAGTACAATGTTACTGTATATCCAATACAATGTTGCTGCACCTGATAGTGTTTTCATCCCACAGGGATAGAGTTTGAGAATTACCTCCATGAATGCATTAGGCTCTGGGTTGGAAGGCCCTGCAGCACTCCACATACACTGGCCCCCTCCCTCCCCTTCTCTCATACAAAATCACAAGCCTGCAAATATTAGGTTATGAGGCAACCCTTAGCCCTTCTCCTGGCTTCTGACACCACAAAGGCCAAATCCTGTACATCAGCATTTTATGGAGTAAAATCTTCTCAATGCTGGTTTTGCAAAAGGATACGAGTAAGGATTGTAAGAAATAAGGGCATTAAAGTCCCATGAGTTTCAGAAACCTCAGGGGTTTACATAGTTTGGTTGGCCTCTCCTACAAGACTGCAGAGCCACTCACGTGCCTTGCACCACATCTCAAGGGGGCTTCCCAGGTGGACTGGAACTCTGAGGACTGTGATCTTGGCCAGCTTTGGGAAACACACTCTGCCAGTTCTGCCAGCTCCACAGTGTCTAGTGTAGACCCAGATCCCCTTTCATCTGTGAGCCTGCTGCAGCCAGACCTATGCTCTCCCCACACACCACCTATAACCCACATTATGAACCTGCAGTACCTTCCATACAGCGCTTCTGCTAATGTGTACACCCCAGTGTCTGGCCCAGTGTCCAGCACACGACAAACCATTACAAACCTAATGGGCTGCTAATCCACATGAAGCCTG